CTTCTTTCGTAACTAGTTATGAAAAACAGTTACGAAGATGGACCAAAGGATAACGATTGATTTGCTGATGCGAGGTATGTGAGTTTTGGCAGATATATTAATGGCTGAAGTACACAATCATGGAAGGGGAACAAAAGCAAGAGAAAAATTAGGACCAGACAATGGATTTTAAGCCGTGACCAACTGGGTGCTTCAAATAATTTTATTAGACGAGTGGAAGGGAAAGATAAAAACACGTTTAAAACCTCATATTGTCATGTTTATTTCACTTTTTCTTAGTTGGCGTAATTTTGTTTTCATAAAATGATCTGAGTATACTCGTAAGAATAAAATTGCGGCCGAGTCCACTCTGGTCGGATGCCATCGTCCGAGTGCACTCGGATCACGTGTTCATATGCTATGAGTAGCGTCCGAGTAGTCATCCGAGTGGACTCAGCCCGAACGTACTCGTACAGTGAAAACCTAGCTTAAATGGTGATAACTCTGTGCAAAAAAAGCGCCCACATCGCCACCAAAAGTATTTTTATGAATGACAACATTCGAGAGGCGTTGCTAAAAATATAAATCTAACGAAGTGTTTGTACAATAAAAACTTAAAAGTCATGGAACAAAGTTGCTATTCATGATAGTAGTAATATAGTCCTTCGAGGTTGTATTTTACAAATAACCCACTATATTACATCAATCAATTACTTAATGAAATTATGCAGACTTATTTGCTCTCAGTATTCTTTTAGGATATTTAGATATAGGAGAAATTTGCATGGAACTAATTTAAATAAAACTAATACAATTTACTACTAATGACGTAATTAATTAGGCACGTTCTTGTACCTGTTTACTTTATAAATGTCGAAACACTTTATAATCAATTTTTTGTGCACCCCTTGGACGAGAAAATCCCTTTCATTGTTACATATTTCATTGTTGTCGTTGTCATTGTTGTCATCTATGTTTGTGAGAGTAAAATTTATAATAAGTAACTAAATAAAGTAACGGGGTGAAGAAGTAACGGCAACTGTTTTGGTAAGCGACACGCCTGTCCAAAACAGTTGCCGTGCCACTCAGAGCTTTAATACGCTGAAAAGCGCCGAAGGCCTTGAGCGATCGAGGTTTTACGCCACGCTTACGATTATGAAATGAATTAATTAGTCGGGTGCAATGCGGACGACGTAGTTACATCCAGTAACGCGTCTCAGCTATCACTTCGTATGTGTAAAAGAGAAGAAACTACCAACAGTTTGCGCGTGTCTCAAAAA